ACTTTAACGTTTTCAGAAACACACAATTTCTCTGGCGTCGTCATTAAATCTTGGTGGAAAAGTAACTGTATCAACAATTCTTTCATTGGTTAGTGTGAAACGTTTGTTGGAGAAGTTGTAGTAGAAGATTTGGAAAAACATAATGTATTCCTATAGATCCTAAAATACTGGTCTGACCAATTTGCAGAGCTAATCATGTGGTATTTACCCTCTAATTTGAGCTTCGGAACACCATTGAAGAAATGAGAGTGCTAATTTTAGAAATTCAATGTCGCATTAACCGTTCGAGTTGCAGAAATGCAGCCTGCGCCAAAAGTTCCAGAATAAAGTGTACTTTTTACACATATAAACAGGCACGCACAGGTTTCTGGGAAGCGAAACCGGTCATAACCGAAATCGAACATAATAGAAACTGATCAAGACGGTCTTGCTTGACAAGGCCGGCTTTGTATAAACTAAATTTTATTTTCTTGGTATTTTTTTCAGCCAAGTGGAGAAGGAAAATTAAGTATTTCAACGAACAATTCAGTGGGTTTTGATATATGCGTAAGAAAGCATAGAAAAGAAAGGAAAAGAAAAGAACAAGAGATGAACAAAATGAAGTATATTTTGATCAGCTGGTAACAGAAATGTCTAACAATATAGTGATGTCAGAAATAAAGTACTACGTTTTCGTTTAACAAAACCAAAAATATATAAGACAACAAACAGATAGTACAAGGTTAGAAAAGAATGATAGTCTGCTGCTGTTATAATGTTATTGCGTTAATCCAACTTTTTGCAAAACATAAAATACCCATTGGTTGTTCACTAATATAACAGGATTTTGACTATACTATATATAAATTATTACAGTATATCTTTTATTCATACCGGACTGGTTCTCAGATTGGGTAAGTTTTTATTTGTAGAGGATGAGTAGATTAAAGAGCAATTTCAAGCGTAAACGTGCTATGAATCCAGATTTGTGTACAAGTTTGGCCGATGATGCTCAAAATTTGGATAATAAATCCACGTCAAATGTATCATCAAACACGGAAGATGAATCGTCTATGAATGTTAATGATAAACCATATGGAAGACCTAAGTCAAACGTATGGCAGCATGCTACCAGAATAAATTCACAGCAAGCAAACTGTAATAAATGTGACAAAATAATATCGACATCGTACGGCTCAACAGGCACTTTACGCGCTCATTTGGCAAAGCAACATGAAATGATTGCATTCAATAAGCCCTTGGCAGAATTAAAGAAACCTCATTCGATAGCAACTGACGAAAAACAAAAATTATATATATTAGCTATGAAGTGCATCATGGAGGATGGTCGTTCTTTTAATGACTTACATAAACCTGGTATGGCAAAACTCTTAAATGCTATAAGACCAGGTAATTTAGATTTTAGTTTATATTTTAAGTTTCCCGTAAATATGCAAGAAAGGCAGACGAATGCAAACTTATACTGTCCCAGAACCATGGTGACTAGTGTTTTCATGCGTTTCAAATTTCTAAATATCAAGAAAATCCTTTTATGAGGTGTCTCAGGCAAAGTCCGCTCTTGGCCGAACAACCACAGATGAAGCTGTCGGGTTTTGGTAGATACCAGACCAGCTGTCGCTCGACTTTAGGCGTATTTTCAAACATTAGACTTGTATGAAGAGTTAGGAAACGGCAATCTTCCCTTTGGAACATCGATTAGGTACACATAAACCCCATTAGTAGAATTGATTAAGACATACGAAGGTGCTGTCTGGTTCTCACTAAAAGACTCTGGAAGTCGCAGGTCTTCAGCTTGTTTCGTTAAAAAGTTATAAAAAAATGGCCGCGGCTACTGTTCATTTTGACAAATAATAATTTGAGCTGAACACTTATTTCGGCTTAGGTACCTAGCGATCTCTTCTTTTTCACTCATCAGATACACCATCTGAAAATCCGATTTTGAAGACTCCCCATATATCGAAAGCTGCAGTAAACATTTCTCAACAAAATGGTGAATGGCCGTAACTTTCTGTCACTTTTCACTCTCGATTTATTCAAGAAACAACCGATGTCATTCTATTTTGAAATGGATAGTAGTGTCTATCTGTTTAGGCTATAAACCTAATCATCGGACTGTCGTGCAACGTAACCTTCGTGGAATGTATGTGTA